ATGAAGGAGGAGGCGGCGCCGCAGCCGCCTCGGCGGGGGCCGCAGCGCGGCTCTGCCGCCAGCAGCTAGGAACGCGCTGCCTGCCGCTCCCCGCCCGAGCCGGGACAGGCGGAGGCAGCCCCGCTCGTACCGGCCATGAGCGGGGCGCCGGCGGCCTGAAGGAGCTCGGGAGGAGCCGGGCGGCCGGAGGAGATGGGTAACCAGCCGGGCAGAGCGGAGGAGCACGAGCAAGGTGTGTGCGAGCGGCGGGGCGGCGGCACCGCGGGGATGGCGTTTTGTTCTCGGGGGCTGCGCCCGCTGAGCCGGCACGGGGCTGTTGTCACAGCGAATATTGGTGGCTTCCAGCCTGCTGGGGACACTGCTGCTGTCTGCCTTGTAAATGCGCTTTATTGCGGTTCCGTACCTGAGATCACAGCACCGTCCTTAGGGGAGCTTTTCTGAAAGGAATCCTTTGGAACAGAATGTCTGCAAGGGAGGGACGCTGTTCACTGACAGATTTTTTTAATTTTTTTTTCCCTTTTTCTCCACAGTCTGCATGATGCAGCTAAAAAGTTACAAAGCCGATGTAGTGATGTACATAAAACTTGTCAGGATCTGCAGCTTGGAAGATCTAAATGTGAAGGCTAAATGTGTTACCCTTCACCATTGTTTCGTGGCCTGAGGCCTGAAATTTTCCAGGCCTTAGAATTTAAAATGATGCCTTTGTTGAAGGTCTCCCACCATTGTCCTTTCAGAAGTGTAGTGCTCTGCATGTTAATCAGGAGCAGATTTCATAGAAAGCTGAGAGCTGCTATCAGGTAGATCGCATTCCCTGTGTGCCAAATGTCTGCACCGTACACCAGCACGGCTGCTAATTTGTTCCTGATGCCGTCCTGCTGCTTTCGTTGCCTTCCGATTTATTTTGCTTGTTTCTCAAATGCTGAATGAAGGGGAAAATCCCGTAGGTCCACTAATTTCTGCTGCTTATTTCTCAGTTTCTTTCCGAATTTAGAACTCTCTAACACACAAAATCGCAATCGATTGTATTTCCTGCCACTCTGTTTCTTGCTGTTGCCATGGGAATTTCATTCACAAAATCCCATTAAAGTTGTTATTGCTTGATCAGGGGTTTCTGTGACTTCGGGTAGATATGTGGAGAGATTGTTTTAGGAGCAAATACAAATGTACCTGATCTCTGGTATTGTTAGCCAGGGCTGCATTGTTGCTCAGGGATCTCTCACAATAGATATGCCAGCGAGTGCTGGAACAGCAGTGAGGTGTAGTGAGAACTCTCTAGCTCTGTGTTAATCACTGGGCTAATGAAGAACACAAAAGCTGCCAGTCACCAGAAGAAATGCTGCCCTAAGGGAAAGTTAAACTTTAGGCAGCAGAGTATGGCTGCCTACATCCCCAGCCCCTGAAATCTGCTGGCCACCGCCAGCCAGCGAAGTTTTGATGGAGCTAAAAGTGTCATTTAGGAGGGATTGTACTGATAATAAACTAAAAGAGAGTTGGATAATGGCCCGGGGAGTTACACTGCCGACTTCTCATCAGTTGGAGCAAACAGACTCTGATTTTGCAGGGCCATTTGAACAGCTTATTGCTATTAACACAGATGATAAATGAGTGTGCAGACCCCTTGTGGCTTTGAAAAATCTCTTTCATCCTTTGTTTTCTCTTGATTTTTTTTTTTTATTGAAGAGGAAAGAATTTTACTTCTGTTGCACCTAAGCAGTTTTTAAACTATTTTCAGTTTTTAAGTGTAGGCTGTACTAGGTCTTGTTTGAAAGTCCTCACTGTTTGTAAGGTATGAGTAGGACTAAAAACCAGTGTTTTGTATTGAACTATGGGTGCAAAACACCAATGTTTAACCATGAAAAAGAGTCAGGAACATTTCTGCTGACAAAAAGAAAAGGAATTCTGACAACATACTCCTTATTGTGTGTGAGAGCTTTGGCTTTGAAACTCAGAGTTTGTGCTTTTAACAGCTAGGATGCAAAAACCTCCTTCTCACATCAGAATATGATACACCATGGTATCTCTGAGTTTTGTTTCTGCTTGAAATTCAGCTCTCATTCAGGAGCACCAACATGTTGAACAGCTGTGGTACTTTTAAGCTTGTGTTTTGGAATAACCAGGCTAACCCCCAGGAGTGGGTTGCTTTATTGATGTACCTGAGCTCATGAGCCAGCTTTAGCAACAGACAATCAATTTGACCAGTTTCCCTAAGCATGACATTCAAGGTCATCTTGTCTGTCTGCCTTCTTAGGAAACTTTATGGACATCTTATGGCTTATCTCTAAGTCTTTCACCCCAAACTTGCCATCTTGGGGTACTTGGGGCAGCTTTGTTCCTCCTCTTAGTGTCAATGGGCACTGAAGTCTTTAAAAATCTGATCCTGTTATGATAAAGGTTGTAATTTCAAGTAAATATACTTATTTTCACATACTTATGAGAGTATTATGTACTTTAATGGATTTTTCTGTTAAGTGTGAATTCTGGGTGGGTTAGTGGTGCTGTCCAGGAACAGGAAGGAAATTATTGCCTCCAAGCTGAGCAGTTGAAAGTTAACACATTAATACAGGAGAATCAAAGAACTGGGACTGACTGAGCAAGGGACTGTGGTGAGGAGAAGACAGAGGAAAGAAATCCTCTGATGGGAATGTTTTGAACAGAAGACAAGACTCTAACAGCTCAGTATCATCTCAAATTAATCTCCATCTTCCTAACAGTGAGTGCCTAAAAAGGATTTGAGAGGATTGCTTGTAATAACATTAAATTCTATAGGCTTTTCCTATCTTCTAATTTAAAACTTATTTTAAACAGCTTTTACAATCATTTGTAAGAACTTTGTGGCGTGTGACCCAAGTATGCATCACTTCTTTGCCAAAACTCTGCTCCTTGCAAGTGGTTGGTTTTCCAGTTACCCCAGTGCTCTGAATATTCATATTTTTAAAACCAGTGGAGGTTTTAGAATGAAAATAAAGTAGTACAGAAAATGATGTGAAAGGCAAGTGAATATTGCAGCAGTCTGTCAGCAGAATTGGTTTTAGGCTTTTGAAACTGGCTACCCAAGCTAAAGGAAACAGTGTATACAGCGGCCACAGCACCTGTGGAATAGCTGGAACATTTCCTGGGAGTTGTATGGAAGAATCCAGAGTTACCCAGTGCACCGTGTTTATTGGGAGAAAGCTTTTCAAACATAGTTTGCCTTGGAAACAGGGAGGCCTCGTGTTAATTGTGAACAGGAGCACTGATGTTCTTTGACACTGGTTGACACGGTGATGAGGGGTTGTTTATCCTCTAAACATCTGCAGGTGATGGATGATGAATATCTTTGGGAAGAGGTGGAAAAAATTATTCAATACCCACAAAAACTTTTGTGAAAGAATCACTTGAATGGGAAATGTTAACTTCTCTTGTTGGAACAAGGTGACGGGTGGGGTTATCCAAGGGTTAGGCTTTTTTTGGGATTGTGTTTATTTGTAAAACATGCTTACATTGCTTGGATGAGAATATCAAGTGTCAGTGCACGCACTGAGTCAGTATTGATCTGTTTTCTTACATCTGTTGTGTCCTGGCCCAGGGGTGGCTTCATTTGAGTTTGAGGAAGGGATTTTTCAGTGTAGAACATAGGAGACTTTCAAGAGAAATGCTATTGTAGAAATACACGTTCTTGTAGTTTCTGCTCTTTGTTTTCAGGGTGTGTAGTCAGATCTTTTCTGGGTGCTCTCTTTAGTCTCCCTCATCTGCCTCTCTCCCAAACATGGGAGCCATTGATTTTAACTCTGTTGGATGTCAGAACACCATTTCTGCCAAGCAAGAGCTCAAGAGACCAGATGAGTTTAATGATGGTGTTGGGGGAAGGGAGGGAGGAGAGAAGGGCCAGCAAAGCTAATGAATCACATAATAGCATTCATGGAAATACCGACAGCAAGTCATGTCCTCTTGGAGTTCGGGCATCAAGCCATAGACCTTTTGTTCCCAGTGGAGCCAACAAACCACAATTTGCTCTCCACTGGATAGTTTAATTCCTTAGTCACCTCTTCCTCCCACAAATCCTTCTTGTATGGGGGGGTTTACAAATGCTCTCATTTTTCAGAGTAGTAACACACTGCTGATTAAACTGGTATTGGAGAAGTTTATTTTCCCCTGGAGAGTAATTTTTACTTGACTTAAGCTTTTCTTCCAAGGCCAGTGAGGGCCAGCTCTGTTGATTGATGTTGTGAGGTGACTTGAGAGGACTGACATGATTAAATCATTTCAGAAGAGCTGACAAACACGTCAGTTAGTGGCAGTGTCTCCTCTGCTCCTAGGCCAGTGAAATGGGAACAGCCAGACACTGTCACAGTCTGGACTGACTCTTAGAGGAATTCAGTCATGAGTGTAACTTACCTCTGGAATTATTTGAGGCAACGTTAAGTGATAATCTGAAGTCCCCTGATTGCAAGATGAAAGGCTAATGAATGCTAAATTAATGGAAAAGATAATCAATAAGTTCTCCTACACTACAGGGCCTTCCCAGCAGTTTTCTGCCATGGCTCGGAGGATGTGCTGAGTGGGAGTGCTTTCTCCATGGGCAGGATGACAGCTTTTACAAGAACTTCTAGGGCATGGCAGGCAGCAGGATGTGGTTTATGCATTTTGTGCGAGATTAATTTCCATCAGCAAAACAAAGCCATTTTTGGATGAAGGCAGGGAGCTTCTGGGAATCCTGCTGAATGAGCTGGTCAGCAAGAACTTGTCCTGTGGGTCCAGAGCTCTGGACTGTGCTTTTGCCCCAGTGCTGGTGATGTTTAGGACCTACCAGGAGTAGATCTAACATTATAGTAAATGTAAAAGCTAATTTTCTTGATGATTGTTTGATTAGTTTAGTTAATGTGCTTGACAGCTGCAGAGTGACAAGAAAACAGCCAGGGTATGGTTGTGATTGTGTTGGTTCTGACACAGCATTAAATGACTTGAAAGAGGGAAAG